TATTGCCCTTGTCTCATTCATCATTTCCAACTTGACCTTAACAATTGAGATGGTTTAACTCATCATCATTGGCCCTACCTTCCATCACTCACCACTTTAACATTTATTCTAGAGACATAATTTCGTTTTAACTGCAGGGTTTCAACACAAGATTTCAGTCTTGGAGTCGACGGCTCTTCTAGGGTTCCTAAGGTTCAAGTCTACCGATCTGTTAGGAAGATTTGTATAAGTTATAGGTTTCGTCACAACATAGGTCATCGAAAGGATCCCCAAGACCCACCAAAGCACCAATAAATGTATTCCAAAGATCTTGGACAAATCCGAAGTCTTACTTTTCTCAAGTTAATCGGGAGACAGTATACACATATGGCGAACTGGGATCGAATAAATACGTACCTTTATTAATATATCATCACTTTGGCTTCTTTTTGAAAGGAGAAAACGAAAAATAAGTCGTGATATTTAAACTATATATATAAAATACATATTGCGATTATTATGTGCAAAAAATATAATCATAATATAATAAAATTAATGAATATTTATATTTATTTAATGAAAATAATAAGGAAGATTGGGAGGATACCTTGGTTTTGGAATAGAAGTAGAAGTAGAAGAAGCCATGATGCTGCCACTAAAAATTTGATCCCTTCAACCTCAAACTTTAATCATTTAAGGTGAGGTTGCAGTTGGACCATACCATCTATTTATACCCCAAATTCAATTAAATAATAAATATTTTTTACCAAATTTCTTTTTTAATTATTTTTTTTAAATTTATGTATAACCTATTTTCATATCAAAGAAAAGGAAAAAGGAATATTTACGCAGGTTACGTACAAAATTTATCTGAAAATCGAGTTTCTACAAATGCGTAAGGTATAAAAGGGGTGATCTCGTAGTTCTTGGTCTGTGAAGATGCGTTGTTAGCTTGATTATTAGTTACTGAGGGGTTAGAAATATATCTTCGCTTGAGAGTATCTCCATTAACTGATAAAAGGATCTTGTCTTGAAAAAGTATTTTCTCCTCTTTGTCTTTTGCGTAAACTCTGGTTAAATGACAATTACACTAAAAAATGAATTTGGTTGAATATATTAACTATTTCAGTTAGTTTTTTCTATTTAAAATAAACTGCATAATATATTAAAACATTTTGAACAGATTCTTTATGATTTTTTAAAATAAAAAATTCAAAAAGTTAAAATCTTTAAACAAATTAATTTCAATTCTAACATTTTCTATTTTAAAGAATTCTTTATAACTTTTTAGAACTTTTAACACATTAATTATAACTTTTTAAAATAAAAAAAATAAAAAAATTGAATTCCTACAAGAACTCGAATTCTTGTTCATGAACCTGGATTCTAATAAGAGCATGTGACTCTAACATATTTTCTATTTTAAAGTCTTCGACATTTATTATATTATTAAAATATTTTATAACTTTATCATTTGAATATAGTTTTTAAACACAAATTATATGAATAATAATCATTTAATCTTATTGGTTGCAACGAAAAACACTTATTTCTCTATCTTTGAATAAAATTTTAGAGAATTTTCTAAATTTTGAGTTTTTTGTATATTTTATAGAATAATATACAAAATGTATGTTGAAACTAAATAGAGAACAAAATCTCAATTTTTATCTATCTTTAAACAATCTGTTAGAAATGCACTCAGTAAACAAAAGAAATCATATCTGGTTTAGTTAACCTTTATAACAAATATCTAATAAAAATAAAATACACATGATTTATTTGTATAGATTTATACATCTCAGGATATTTAAGATATAACTATTGGAAGGGAAATTTATTAAAATAACTATTTTTTATGGTTGGTTTCATCTGTTAGTCATTTTCTCTTCAAGTTTACTAAAATAGTCATAGGTTCGCAAAACCCACGTCCATAAAAAAAATTAAAATTGCAGATCTAGGGCTATTTTGGTAAACATTGTAAAGAAAATGACTAAGAGGTGAAACCAACCAGTAAAAATGGCTATTTTAATTCGTTTTTGTTATTGAAATATATAAAATAATGTTCCTATATTAATATATGCAATTTAAGATATTGTGATCTCGATCTATTTACTTAAAGAATAAGAAATTATTATATCAACTCGTTGAATCAGTAAAACTTGTTAGATCAGAATGTTGAAGTTTTGTACCGAACACTTCAATAATTGAGTTTTATTTCAAAAGGTCTTTCTTTAAACATCAACTCTAGTACCCCTTTTGTATTCTTCTTGCTTAATTTGCACCTTGCATTCAACGACCATCTTATGAACTCCTTGAATCTCAACAGGTTTTCACTAAAATCTTTAATAGATTACTGATTTCTCTCGTATTTTTTTTCTTTTTTGTTCTTTTTCTTGCTCCAGATCTTCGATCGTTACACTACGACTCTAAATTTCTTTACACTATGATGAAGAAAAATGAAGCGGTGACCCGTGTCTATGCACCGTTGGGGTCCACCTCTTATTACAAATTTATATTTTAATTTAATATGTAAAAGATAAAAGATAATGAAGATGATAAAGTCCAACATGAAGATGAAGACGAGGTTAAAGACTTAAAAATAGAAGTCAAATAGATCAAAATGTTCGTTAAATAACATGTATCAATAAACAATACTTCATGTATAAAAAATGGTTTTTAAGAGTTTTTTCAAATGGTTTATAATATAGTATAGATATAGAATACTTCAAACTTAAGTTATAAATATTAATAAAAAAATGATATTTTCTTTTTTTCCACGTGATTGGAGGACACGTGGCATCACCAATATTGAAACGTGGCAACCTTTGCAGATATTTTGAGGGTGTAAAATTCAATGTTTTTCTAGATGTATCAGATGGATTTTTTTGAAGGTCTTCTATCAGATACAAGTCATTGTCTCAATTTACTTAAGGAAACTAATTTTCAGAGTTTCTAAATCAGGTTGGTAAGTATAAGGATAAAATCTGTAAATTAATCCACCTATATCTATTTTATAGATTTCGTCCTTATATTTACGAATTTGGTTCAAAAACTCTTTTATTACACTTTTAACTCCTTCACAAATTGCAGACCTACCACTTATTAAGGGTAAGCAGTGGAACCAGATACCCATTTATGGAACCGGAACCGATATGAGTGGTTCCGGTTCCTAAAATACGGAACCGACTGAAAATGGTTCCGGTTCTCAATTTTTCGGAACCGTTACCCATCGGGACCGGTTTCGGGTACCCGGAACCGATGGGTACCTTGAACCGGAACCGGCGGGTACCCGATATTTTTCAATTAAAAAAAATTTAATACTAAATTTAAATTAGGTCAAGAACTTAAAACTCTAGATTCAAAATTTGAGATAAAATGATTTGTATTATTTCAAATTGTGTGTTTAATTGAATTCGTAGTATGTAATCGTTAAACTTTGAACTTTTACAATTATATTATGTAATCGTTAAACTTTCAACATTTACTATTAGTCTATTATGGTTTGTAATCGTTAAACAATATTTGTACCCATTATTCCGTGTAATTTGTATTCTTGTTTATTTATTTAGTGTTTTAGCAATGTTTTATTTTTTTTATTTTTTCTAAATAACAAAATTTTAATATTTTAGGAAGCGGGTACCCAGAACCGGAACCGGTTCCCGGTTCTAAAAATTCAAGAACCGCTCTGACCGGTTCCGGTTCCAATATCTCAAAAACCGCCTGTTCCGGTTCCGGTCAAATAGGGCGGGTACCCCGCCTATACTCACCCCTACCACTTATGGATCTAATGATATTTTGCTGAATTTAAGAAAGAAATGACTAAGAAGTGAAATACAACCGAAAATAACTACCTTTAGGTAATTTCCCTTATTTAATTAGTTTAGATTATCTTTATGTTCCTTAAATGAATGTAAAAAAATTCATTTATGTAAATGAAAATAAAAAATTTAATTAATCTCAGAGTAAAATCTTGGGTTAGAAGCAGTTTACTAAACACTTATTAAGTAAGCGTTTGTTCATGCCACTTACCTTGTCGGATAAGCATCGTAAAGACCTAGAATTTTACCGATAAGAAAGATGATAAAGATCAAGAGCATTACCCTATAAGTAAGAGTGACGACTTTTATCCCGTTAGTAATTGTTGCATATGTATATATTGAGTTACTATTATTTGAACTCAACCGAACCCGATATCCTTTTATTTTCTTGGATTTAATATGATTGTTGAGTTTATATTAATGTATACATTAGACAACTACCTTATCACGTACGCTCTTCATATATACATATTTTTCAATCTATTCTCCATCTTTATATAACTCATTCGTATATATGTTCAATAACTGTGAACATATATATGTAAATTGAGAAAATTAATTGAATGTGATATATGTAAAAAGTGTGGATAAGTTGTATTAAATGGTTGATGATGAAAACGCAATTGTTTGGAGACTATTATGTTAATTACTTGTTACTCTATTTGGAGCTTCCGAGATAGAGTTGCTTTCGGAAAATCTGCGTCCAAGAGGAATTGAAGGACCTTTTTGATTTGACGACTGAAAACTCTTTTGAATGGATGGTGGTATAGGCATAAGGCGAGTTTGAAGGACGTTTTTAAATCTTTAATGGATAACAAGTCTACCAGTGTATTATTCACGAAAAATTAAGAAAAAACTGTTAAACTAGAGAGAAACTCTTAACAATAATTTTATTGATCAAAATTTGAATAATAATGAAAACAGTGAATCCTATTTATAAGTTAAAACTAATTGAGAGATAACTATTAGAACTTAAATTCAAATCTACTCCTAAATTCCTAATCCTAAATCTATACTATATTATAAAGCATTTGACAAAAACTCTTAAAAACCATTTTTTATGCATGAAATACTGTATATTGATGCATATTACTTAAAATTTAAGATTACAAATAAATTATGCATAAGTACAACTTATTAAAGCTTCATGTTTGAATTCGTGTAACTAACTGCGGATAAACATAATCAAATAGAAGATAAACATCTCCTTTTAAAATATAAAAAATATAAAATGTAATTAGGATAATTATCGAGTTCTAACAAAATAATTAATTATTATCTTTATAAGAAAATTATATTATCAAACTAAATATAAATTATTTCGTTATTGAACCTAAATTAAATTATAATAAAAAAATTGAATTAAAAAATTACACAAAAAATAAAAAAGTTAAATAGTTAATTTGATACTAATATCGATATATTTTTGTCAAATTTTTATGATATCTTCAAGTTTATTTTTTATTCAAAAATAAAAACAACATCGTTTTTTCAAAATCACATAAGACCATACTATAACATCGACTGAGATAAAAATAAAATGAAATATTAAAATCAAGATGTATCTCGCTGTATTGTGTGAGTACCCTTCTAGTCAACTATAAAATAATTAATAAAAGTAAACTAATAATAATCCTAATCTAAATATAAAGTTGATAACTAAACTAATTAAGAAACAAAATAATCAAATAAACAAATAAATGCAATCCATTTGGAACTCATCAGAACGAGCCCGCGACCTGACACGTGACCCAAGTCGTGGGATAAGTTGCGTAAGCGACTGTGTTTCGGCTTCTGATCCGGATATTTGGATTTCTTTCGAGCTGGTTTTCTTCTTTTCCAAAGATCAGAGCAAAACCTTGTTAACTCTCGAATTCTCTCTGTATCAGTGAGTTTCATCATGCTTTTACATGCAATAATGTTTATTATACATGCGATACTCTTCATGCTATTATGTTAGCATCATTGATAAATGGATTATGTTATGAAAAGTGTTGCATGAACATTTTGAATAATGAATGAAATATTTTGTTGGTTCACCTTTAGAAATACTCAAATGTTATCTTGGTGTTTGTAATACAAATGTCTTGTAAGTGATAACCTCGAAAAGTGGGTGTCACGGAGAAACTTTGAGTGCTTAGGGGCCGTTCACCTAAATGACTACCTAGTAAGCACTTACCGTTAGAAGTCACCACTATAATTTATTTTACCGGGTAAGATTGTAGTACATTAAAATGATGTAGTATGCAACCATTTACCCGGATAAGAGTCGTCACCCTCACTTACCGAGTAAGACTCTCCATCTTTATCATTGCTCCTATCGAGTAAGATTTTTGACCCTCCTTATGTTCATCAGATAAGGAAAATTATCGTTATGTTCAAAAGAGAGTAGATAACAAATTGGGAATAAATTAAAATTTTAAATACATATAACACAAGTTACATAAGATGTTTTGATATCATCAAGTTCTTTCACTTGGTTATTATGAGGATTTGATATTGGAATACGATATTATTCAACCAAGAAAACAATAACAAAAAAGGAAAATAAACGCAGGCACACAAAACATAAGAAAGATGTGTTGATGTAGGATTCTATCCTGTCAACGAAAACAAGCCAAATGCAGGATTGAGAACGGAGTAACCACCATCTACGACCAAGTTATGTCCACTCATATACCCAGACTCATCACTTGCTAAAAAAACAGCTGCATTTGCAACATCTTGTGATCCAAGTTTCTTGCCATTAAGGTTTGAGAACACAGTCGAGTTTTCATCCATGTTGAAGAACTTCATTGCTAGTTGAGTTGGTATAACATAGGGCGATATGCAATTGACACAGATTTGATACTTTCCTAGTTCAGCAGCAACGTTCTTTGCTAGTCCAACCACACCATGCTTTGAGCTTGTGTAAGCATGAGATGAAAGCCCACCTGTGATAGAAGCTATACTTGCAGTTGTGATGATGCTCCCACTGCATTTTGGGATCATCACACGTGCTGCATGTTTGGTTCCCAAGAACACTCCAATCAGATTGACATTAATAATCCGCTCGAAGTCTGCCTTGTCATTGTCTAAAATGCTAAGCTCTAGCTTATCGCAAGTCCCTGCGTTGTTAACCATGATGTCCAATTGCCCGTGCTTAGCGATTGTGGTGTTGATGGCGTTCTCTACATCTAATTCAACGGTTACGTCGCAGTGAACGAAAGATACAAACTCAACACCCAAGTCTTGGCAAACCAGTTGCCCCAACTCATCTCTGACATCAAGAATAACTACTTTTGCTCCATGCTTTACGAACGACCTCACAATACATTCTCCAATGCCCCGAGCTCCACCAGTAACGATGGCTACCTTGTTTTCAAGTCTGAAACAAGTATCGTTCACGTTAGTATCAAGTAAGCACAAAAACGGAAGACGTGTTATCAACTCATCAAGTTATGAAAATTAACTTCTTAAAGTTCGAAATCACCCTGATTACACTTATCTAGAAGATAGGAAAGTATACCTTGGTTTCAGAGTCGAAGAATCCATTATCCTGCCACTATAATTTTGCTCCTTGGCCAAAATTATGGTTTGATATGAGGTTGGACGATAATACCATGCTATTTATAGGGATATTAGAAAAGTAAAATCAACAAAATATTATTAATAATAATGTAAAATGAAATCACCTATTCTTTTATCTATCTTTTTAATAAAAATATAATATCACATAAATTATCTATTTAATTATAAAGTATTTGACAAAAACTCTTAAAAACCATTTTTATGCATGAAATATTGTTTATTGATGCACATTACTTAAAGTTCAAGATTACAAGTAAATTGTGCGTAACTACAACTTATTAAAACTTTATGTTTTAATTCGTGTAACTAACTGCAGATCAATATAATCAAATAAAAAAAATCTAAAATATAATTAGGATAATCATTGAGTTATAACAAAATACTTAATTATTATACTTATAAAAAAAACTATATTATTAAACCAAAAAAATGAATTCAAGAAACACACAAAAATAACAATACTTTTTTCAATTCTTTATGATATATCTTCATATTTATATTTTATTCAAAAATAAAAACATTATCATTTTTTTCAAAATCACATAAAACCATATTATAACATTGTTCAAGACAAAAAAAATATAATAAAACAAAAAATTAAAATCGAAATATATCTTACTGCATTGTGCGAGTATACCACTGATTTTAAAGATACAATTATTGAAATATACAAGATAAATACTTGTATTAAAATATGTAATTAAAATATGATAATTTCAATTTTTAAAAAAATTTAAACATTAAGTGAGAATCGTACATTTAAGCGGATCAGATATGTTGCATCATCCACAGTGTTTCATTTAATTTTTTTTGTCACAATCAATTATTTATACAATAATTGCTCAAAATTTGACTTTTATAATAATAGTATCATAGTTTATAATTTAATTCATGTTTTTTTTTTTCATATTAAAATATGTATCAATCACTTCAACCACTTGATGCATCCATAATTGAGTTTATATGTCCAAACAGTATTCTTTGAGCCCAAAATCGTAGTCTGATTTTATAAATATCGATCAGCGTACACCTCTTGTTTCGTATATATTTTCATGTACGAGTTATCAAATTTCACTCTTAAGGCTACAAATGGCTCCAATTAAAGCTCTAAACCGACCACCCATGTAATGAGTTTATACTTTCGTTATTTCAACTTGTATTTATTTGCTGAAGTCTTTAATAAATTACTGATTTTTTTTTCTCGTGTTTACAGATTTCATAGAAAAAAAAATGAGGATGCAGAGTCTTGTATATACCCAAGTTTGTGGTTGATATCTATGGCTCTAGATCTTCGGTTGTCACCTTTTATATTCGTACCTTTTTACTAGTACGGGTATTACGTGGCACATTAAGAATATACTTATGTTGCTGGGTTTAGTCGTTGTAAAATTGATATTTTTAGTTGAATATATCGGTGCCCTCAAATCGACAATGACACGTTCTGTTGTATGGTTTTACATAATGAATGACTCTTATATAGAAATAATCATGTAATATAAAAGTACTGTGAAATCGCAAAAGTTTTGATCTGCTAATGACGTAATTGATAAATTTGTATTTAAAATAAAATAAGGAAGTGCATTACAGATTTCGTCCATGGATTACTCGTAAACTGTAGTTTTAGTTTTTTTGTTTACCTCTTAATAGTTTCATTAAGAGACAACCTCTGAAACGCTAGAAGGTGAATCTTGTTTGACAGAAAAAAAAAGTCTGCCTCTTAATGGTTACAAAACCCTCTGAACAATTTTGTATCTTGGATCTCCCTTAATTACCATTCAACGCCCTAATTTTATTGTTAAACAATTACCAAATAATTATATTTCATTTTGCATTATATCACAAGAGCACCTTAGTTTATTAAATTCTTTTTATATTCTTTGTCCAAAAATTGTTTTTTACATAACGTGATAGTATTCAGACCAAATCTAGACCAAATCTACACCAAAATAATGGTCATTATTAATTATTTTGGACAAGAACCGAATGTTAAACATATTTTTTTTAAAGAGGATAAGGGATCGTTTACTAAATACTTACTCGGTAAATATGGATTGGGTAACTTTCCTCACTTGATGTATATGACAAGGGCTGAAAATCTTACTCGGTAAGAGCGATGATAGGGATAGAGAGTATTACCCGGTAAGTGATGGTGAAGACTCTTACCCGGGTAAGCGTTTACCAGGTAAATTGTTGCATACGATACTGTTTTAATATACTACAATCTTATCTGGTAAAATTATAGTGTTGACTCCTTCCGTTAAGCACTTACCAGGTAAGTATATGGGTAAACGGCCCCTAACATTGGAACAGATTTTAGATATATGATCCCTCATTAAGCATAAACACTCACTACAAGAAAAATGACCTTCAGAGAATGTATTGTTTTGTACTTAAAAGTCTTAAAAGCTTCTCTAAAGCCTTTAGATAAGCTTTTCAATTTTGTCAAAGAGCTTCTCTATGTGACGGTAGGTGAAGGTTTTAGAGAGGGTTTTCAAAGGGTGTGTTTTTGTTAGCCTTTAGAGACGCTTAATTAAGGCTTTAGACGATACACTTTTAAAACTTCTCTAAAGGTTAGTTAACTTTTTATTCATAGCTTCTCTAAAAGTATATATATTAGTGACGTTTTTAAAGTATTTGTGACGGTTTATAAGAGTTACTAAAAGATAATTTTTAGAGAAGGTAATGGAAAAGCTTCTCTAAAGATATTGGCTTTAGAGACACTTTTAAAAAACCTTCTCTAAAAGTCATCGTTAGTTACACTTACAAAATTTTCTCTAAATATGATATTTAGATACACAAACTCAAAATTAATGAACTCAAACTAAAAACCGGCTTTTAGTTCATAAATTAATGAACCAAAAGCAACAACAACACTACGTAACAATTCTTGCCTCTCAAATTTCCTTATCAAATCAAACTTAACAAAACATTTGAGTCAGATTTTGCTTTCTTTAACATATCTTTTTACACTAAAATAGAGGACCATACCTTATATGATATTTGAACAACAGTACCAGCTCAAATTGAAAATTCAAAGACCAAACTCATTAACTTTCTTAAATAGGATCGGGATCCGTTAGAAACACCAAACCTTAAGAAGAAAAAATGCAATTCACTCTAATTGTAATGAAAATAGAACAGAGGTGAAATGTTTAAGCATTAAACATATTCCAATAAATGCTGCCTGCTACAAGTATACAGAATTGGGATACAAGAGACAGTTCAGGACTTAGGTATTTTCTGTTAAAGAAAAAAGAGGCATGAAAGACTAAAGTAAAACTTAGGTCTTATGGCAACAAGAGAATGGAGACAAGACATACCAAGTAAAAGCACACTAAAATTTAGATTTAAGATAACTTGGTTCGTTGATTGGTTTTTTTTTTTTTTTTTGGCTCATATACATATATTGCACACCCTGATACCAATGTACCATGAACTTTATGGAATTTAGGACTCACAACATAGGCAAATCAAAAGGCATACTCTGCATCCATATCCTTGCAACATTGGCCAATTATGATCTATCCCAATGGTTGTTGCATGCTTAGTAGGGAATGGCCAAATGAATACTCAGTTAAGTTGAAAACATAACACTAGAATTTTTATCTTGATTCTTCTTTGGAAATTCACCAAACAGGTGGTATGCAAACACTCTTATTATTATAGAACGATGTTTATACAACTCCAAATTCACCAAACAGGTGGTATGCCCTAAATATGCTCACCTTATGAAATGCATTCAACCGAACAACAAATACATGAAATGACTAAACGAATGGAGAATCAAACCATGAAGAAGCATGTTATGCCAAAAAGACAGAACCAGATTAGGGCAGAATACATACCTGATTTATGTATAAAAACGAAACCAAATTGAGAAAAATCATGATGGAGACATGACGACGGGACCTCGGCTGAGAAATCGACGAAGGCGATGGCGAAATAGGTAGAGAATTTGAGGAAGGCGACGGCGAAATCGGCAGAGAAACGACGAAGGCGACGGCGAAATCGGCAGAGAAACGACGAAGGCGACAGGGAGAGAGATAGAGTCGAGAGATGGGAGCGATGGGTTATAAAAAATAGTATTTTTCTAATAAAATTGATAAATAATTAAAACAAAGACTTTAGGGAAGGATTTTATTCTAAAGAACGTCCCTAAAGCCCTTCTTCATATTTTTTTAGAGCCTTTTCATAAAAAAAAAAAAAAAAAAAACTATATAAAGCTTTTAGAGACAATTTTGATAATGTATAATAAAATTTCAAATATTTCTCTAAAACTCATTCTACCTTCAGTTACGTATTTCACTTTTATCATTCATTTTCTTCTCTATAATACATCTTTAGATGCATTTTTAAAATCTTCTTTAAAAATTCCTTCTCTAAAGCCCTTTTTCCTTGTAGTGACTCGATATTTTTTTCATTCTAATGGATTATTAAAAAAACATAATTTTCGTTTTAAAATTTTCATTTCATCTGATAAAAGAGTCGTATAGGTTGTTTACCAAACGTCTATCGGGTAAGCGCTTACTGGCAAAATTAGTGTAAATTAGTGTTTGTTAATGCATAAAAACTCAAGATTAAAAACATTTGATAAAAACTCTTAAAAACCAATTTTTATGCGAAAATTAGTGTTTGTTAATGCATATTGCTTAAAACTCAAGATTACAAGTAGATTGTGCGTAAGTACAACTTATTAAAGCTCCATATCCGAATTCGTGTAACTAACTGCAGATAAACATAATCAAATATAGGATAAACATCTCATTTTAAATATAAAAAATCTAAAAGATAAGTAGGATAATCATTGAGTTCTAACAGAATACTTAATTATTATCTTTATAAAATGTTATATTATTAAACCAAAAATAAGTTATTTCATTATTAAATTTAAATTAAATTATCTATACTATATTATAATGCATTTGACAAAAACTCTTAAAAACTACTTTTTATGCGTAAAGTACTGTTTGTTAATGCATATTACTTAAAACTTAAGATTACAAGTAC